GAAAAGGGGGGGGGGGGGGGGTGAGGGGTGTGGGGGGGGGGAAGAAGAAAAGCCCCAGCATCGTCTTTCCAGTGGGAATTAAGTGAGTCTTTTCTGCTTTTCCAAAGATAGATTTGCAAGGAAAGTCTGAAGGGCAGTGCTGTGGGATGTGCTCCTGGGGGGCTTACGATGACAGCATGTGTTGGGAACAAGCGTTACGAAATCAAACCCCCATTTGCCTCCAGCTCTGGGTTTCCCCCTGCGCTTGGAGCAGAGGCCAGCGCTATCCCCACGGCTGGCACCAGCGTTGCGGTTACAGGCGATGGCAGGGATGCTGGCGAGCATCCCGCACCGCCCATGGCGCTTGCCGGCGCAGCCTGGCTGCCAGCACCGTGTCCCTTCCCTGCAGGGTGGCATTGGCGCCGGGGAGGCATGGGGATGGGGTTTGGAGGGCAGCCGGCGGGGCTGGCACGGGGCTGGGCGCCAGGATCGCGGCTCCTCCGGAAAGGCATCTGCTGCCGGCGCCAGCAGCGGGGAGCCACGCCAGAGCCAAGATGCAGCTGGGCATGGAGACCTTGAAAGGCACTTGCCCTGGGATGCAGAGGTTATTACTCACACCTAATTATTTATTAGTGCAGGCTTCTTGGCCGGGGTGGTTTATCCACTCGTGCCATGCTAACAAGGTAATGTCCGCTCCGGCCCCACTTGGCTGGGTTGCGTTTCCGCTGGCAGAGTGACACGAGGAGGGGGGTAAAAGTGGTTTGATGGGGCTCTGGCTCCCGCCAGCATTGCCTGCCACGTCCTGGGAGGTGCCAGGTTGCACAGGTACTTCTCTCCTGGAGACCCTGCTCCTCCCAGCACCCATCCGTGGGGTCTACAGATGCCAGGCTGCAGCCCAGCGTTGTCATTGAATTAGCAGGGGAGGCATCAGGCATGACTTGGGAGCTAGCTGAGGGAAAAAGCCAATGTGGAAATTGGTGGGGGAAGAGACACTGCATCAGTGTAAATGCCGCTCTCCGTTCAAATGGGATGACTGATGGAGAGCAGCATCCTGCTAGGGGAAATGGAGGGAGGAAAGGCTCCACGCAGGCAGGCAGGCAGGAAAAGTTGTTTGCAGAGCAGAATTTTAGTGGGATAAAATGCCTCCAAAGGCGGCAGTGTCGCCTTACCCAGCAGCCGCATCGATTTCCACCATGCTATAAACTTGAGCCCTGCTCTCTGCTGAGCACCAGGCTCACAAGGATCGGTTTCTGGTTTTATTCTTTTCTATAATTTAGCATTTGCCTCTGCCTCTTCCTCTTTTCATTAGTTCTCCTCTCATCAATTATCAGCTGTTGAAATGATGGCTGGTCGGTGTCTCAGAGGTTCATTTAACCTCTATTGAACTGCTGAGTTGCAAGTCATTATTCCCTTTTTATTCCTGTTTTATCCTTGAGTTTGAAGGTGCCCTGATATGTGAGACAGGGCAGCCCCCAGGTGCCAGCCCAGTCCCTGTGTCCTGGCCCAGTCTCCCCTGGGCAGCGATGTTGGGAGCATGCTGCACCAAGATGCAAGAGTTAGCTGAGGCTCTGCAAGGTTGACTCATTCCTCAATCTTCTTTTTAGGATGGAAGATCTTGCATAGAAATCAGCATTTCCCTGGCAGCAAAGGTGCTGGGGGAGCCCCTGCTCTGCACAGAGGTTCACAGGGAGCCTTGCAGAGAGGTGCGGGACTGGCTGGGAAGGTCTCCCAGCACCCTGTGCAGGAGGAGGGGAAGGGAGCAGAGCTGAGAGCTTTCCTTAGAGGAAGAAACATTTGCATCCTGCTTTCCCCCCTCAAAAAAAGTCAAAATTTCCCCTGCCTCCCCTGCTTGGCAGTCCTGTGGCCAGCAAGGAGAGGAGTCCTCAATGGAAGAATTGTTCTCCACGGAGGAAGCCCAGAGAGCAGCCACAGCTATCATCCTACATGAGGTTCTGTATTGTTTAGGGGAACAATTTCTGTGACTCACAAGGGATGTTCAATATGTTTATAAATATATATTTTGACAATTTCTCGGGAGGCTGATGGTTTGCAGGGGCATTTCTCCAGGAAAGACTGTCTTGCAGCTTTCCTCATGCTTGCGTGTTGTTGAGTGTTGTGTTACTGAAAACATCTGAAAATCCCACCCTTAAGGCCACCCTTTGGAGATATGCTGTTTGTTCCCATCTGCTGCTAAGCCTTTTGCACTCTTTACCTTCCTTTTCAGCCTTAAAGTTTAGGGGAAAGTATAAACATCCCAGTTCCTCTGCCCAGGATGCACTGGCTGCACAACCAAGCTGGGAATGGTGTGGCATTCACACTTTCCCTGCCGAAGTGCTCCTCTAACCTGTTTTCTCCTTCTCCCCACAGGTATGCGAATACTCGTCACCCTGCTGTTAGATACTCTGCCTATGTTAGGCAACGTCCTCCTCTTGTGCTTCTTTGTCTTCTTCATCTTTGGGATTGTCGGTGTGCAGCTCTGGGCAGGGCTGCTGAGAAACAGGTGTTTCCTAGACAGGAATTTTGCAATGTAAGTACAGCAAAAAAAATCTCCACCTTTTCTTCCTTTCTCTCTCTGCCCTGCCAGAGAAACCCCGGCGGTCAGCAGGGTCAGCATCCAGCCGGGGTGCAGCCAGGGCCGGATCCAGCAGCTGAGAGCACGACGTGGCTGTGCTGCACGGCTGCAATGGCAGCTCTTAACTGGGCTGTCATCTTGATTCACAAGGTTGTTGGCTTCAGGACTCCAAGTCTGGCCAGGTACTTTTTGTATGGCAAAATCCACTTGTCAGCAGGTTACTGAGGGTTTGGAGTGGCTTTTTTCATGTTTTCCCTCTGCACCTGAAGGACAAGGACATTAGTGGTTTGGATTATGTCTGTCCAAGGAAGCTGAGATACCTGACTCTGGGAATTTAAGGATTTAGAACAAACAAAAGCATTATAGCTCTCCTAAAATTACCAGCTCCCAAAACTGTACAGGTCTGGGAGGTCACCTAGCACACCACACACCTGGCAGGGTGTTGATTAGGTGGTCTGCATGCTGGTACAGACAGCACCATGGAGATGCTGCTGAAACACACAAATAAATCATTGTAGGTGTATTAAGATAAGAAGCTTGATGTGAAAGGCACTACAGATGTTTGTACACTGCTCTCAGTCTGGGACAGGCATCAGGAATGGGCAGCACATTTGATCACCAGCTCTTTTTGATGCAAACTTTAGTTTTGGTTCTTCCAAGCTAGGCAGTTGCATAGACCAGGATCCTTGCCACATGCTGAGGGTGCTAATAGGCCTTAATTGCCCTGATGAGTCTCACCTAGGACCCCCACCCTGCCCATGGCCCAGGAGCTCTATTTAAGCTCAGCCTGTGACTCTTAGTCCTGGTTTGAGCTGTGCTGGTGGTGTGCCTGTTTCCAGCTCTTTGTTCCTGGTTTCTTTGGCTCCTGCCTGAGTTCTCTGGGTGGATCCTAGATCTGGTTCATCACTTCTGTTGTGGTTTCAGCCCAGCAGGTAACAAAGGACCACACAGCTGCTCGCTCACTCATCCCACTCCAGTGGGATGGGGAGGAGATGGAGGAGAGAAAAGGGAAAAGAAAAAAAAAAAATGGAACCTCGAGGGTTGGGATAAGGGCAGTTTACTGGGACAACACACAAAAAAAGAAGTTACAACAACGCTGCTAATGAAAGGATATACAAAAAGAGTGATGCACAGTGCAACTGCTCGCCACCCAGAACCCAACGCTCTGCCACTTCCCCCACTGAAAGTCGAGAGAGCTCCCCCCAGCCCGCTCCCCGTTTATATACTGAGCATGATGGCACATGGTATGGAATAGCTCCTTGGCTAGTTCAGGTCAGCTGTCCCGGCTATGCCCCCCACCTCCCAGGTTCCTGTAAAAATTAACTCTATCCCAGCTGAACCCAGGACAACTTCCCACACCTGGGGCTTTGAATGGACCCTGCTGCCAGCCCTGGGCTCTGCCTGCTGTGTTCAGACTGTCCCTGCAGGTGCTGCTGGTGCTGGGATGACTCTTGGCTCCTGGCTCATCCCCTGCCACAGGGCAGGCCAGCTCTTGCTGCTCCCCAGCCATCCCTCAGCATGATACCGAGCCTGGGCTGCTCTGCACTTGCCCTTTCAGAGGTGCAATGTAAGGGCACACCTTAAAACCTATCAGCACAACAAAAAGATCAAAACCAAGTGCAGCCTGCGAGCTTCCACAGAAAAGGGAGGTCTGCATGGGAAAATCCTTCCAAAAGGCTCCTGTCAGAGGCTGCTGAAGATGTCAGTTGTTCAGAGGTGAGGAAATGCCTGAGACCAGCTAATCAGGGCAAGTCTAGCTCTGTAAGAGAAGATAGAGCCTGTAATTATATCTGTTTGTAATCATCTGCTGTCTGCAACTTGCATTGTGTCTGGAAGACAAGCAGAGATTATCTGTCAGCTCTACCCCAGGTCCTGTTCCTGCCTCTCACTGATTAGTCCTGTGGCCTTCAGCTCTCTGAGCCTTTCCCTGTACTGCAGACCATCTCTGATGGCACTTACTCATCCCACCAGAGATGCTGAAAGGCAGAAAATCAATGGGTCTGCCATGTGTGTATGCTTCAGCTCCTGCATCTTGATGCTTCAACCTCACAAGCTCTCTCCTGCACCCACGGCAGGTATTTGCTGGTCATCAAGACTCTCTGTCACTCAGGGTAATCCCTGAGCTGTCATTTTAAAGCCTGAAAACTAGTGATAAAGCTGTGCTCAGGTGGCCCCGTTGCATGGGGCAGGCACTGTGTGCAGGCAGTGCTTTGAGCACAAGGAGTGCAGAGCTGTAATTAGCTTCAGTGAGTCCTTCTCATCCATTTGACCAGGTTTCTAAAATGCTGTGTGTTTTCCTGCAAAGTGGAGCTTTTAAAATTAACCACAGGGGAAACATTTGCTAAGTACAGATATTAAGCAGGCTGTTATGTAATGGCCATTAGCAGCATCAAAGGCATCACAGGATTTTCTTATCAGGGTCTTGGTCCCGGTCACTGAAAGCAAATTCAAGTTCCCTGGGCTAATCCTTGGAAGCTGTGTTTGAAAAGGCAGGAGGTTTGTAAGAGATCTCCTTCCTCCTTCACTGCAGCTCTGCACGGGTTCCTGGGTCCCCTCCAGCAGCATGTAGTGGTGAATTTGGGTGGCTGTGGGTTATCCTTTGCTTGTGCCCAAGTCCTGTTGCTTGATGCCATGTGGTCTTTAATACCCCAACAGCAAGTTGTTTAGGGGGAAAAGGCATGGTGTGGCAGTAACAGGGAAAGCACTTTAGGGTTACATCTTCCTGCTATCGTACAGATGGACCAAAATATACAGCATTGGGCCCAAAGTAGCAGGTCCTGCTGACCAGCAGCAGGATGCCATCTGCCTGCAAGACGATGTGGAGATATAGGCAAAGTCAAGCCCAGGGTTGGATTGGAGCAGGTCCATCCCTGTGTGCCCAGTGTCGGTGCTGGAGAGCCCTGAGCATCCGTCCCATTCTAGGCAGAGCTGCCAAAGAGAACAAAAACAACAACAAAACCTTCACCCAGGGGATGCAGGATTAAAGTTAAGCTGTGGTTTTGCTTAGAAGTAAACAGAATAGAGCTCTGCGGGAAAGGGGGAATGAGATTCTGGTCGGTTAGTTTTGTCTGCCAAGTCCCACTAAATCCCAGTGGTGTTGTCCTCAGCCTAAAATAATGTTTGCCAGCCCTTCAGCAGGCTGTGAGGGGCTGGAGGATGGACAGGCGTGCTGTGCACCCAGGTTGGAGCTGAGCAGGTGATGGTCCTGGCTCAGATTTTCCTTAGAGCCCCGTAAAGGGGAAGACTTGAGTTATTGGTGGGGCTCACATTGGTGGTGGTGTCAAACCCTCCCAGATGAAGACAGAACTGCTTTAAAGTGAGGGTGAGCATTTGAACACAATCCAGGGTGCCAGGCAAGGAACGGTCATAGCCCCAGAACTTTTCTGGAGTAAAAGAAGTGTAAGTGAGCTCAGAGACTGGTGCTTCAAATACAGTTTCTTATCTGCTGCATGCTTCTTTGCACACTCACTACCAGCAGCTTTCTGGGCCGTACAGCTTTACAGCAGGCATCAGATGGAAGAAGTTACTTTGATTTTGCCATCATTCTTCTTCCTGTGGAAGCCTTTTCTTTTAAATCCCCCTTGAAAGTTAGCTGCTTCAAGTAAAGAAGCTATTTTTAAATATAGTACATTCTGATAGAAATTTGGGGATTTCTTTGAGGTGCACTGGAAATATCTGCTTTCTCTCTTTCTTTGAAAATTGCACTGTTGCAATGCAATATCATGCTGGAAGGAGGCTGTTTTATTAAGGACTCTCTTTGAGTAGCGACTTTGAAGGAATTACAGGCAGTTACTGGGCTGTTGCAGTAGCGGGTTGGCAAGCAATAAACTGGACTGGGTCACTGCTGTTCAGGACACGTGAGAAGCTGTCACTTCCCAGTCAGCCCTGGAGACCAGAGTGGAGTTTCAGAGGTCTCTGGTGGCTCAGGCACCTCTTCAACCCGCCGAGGAGCTCACTGACCACGTTGCATTTCCCCTGGCATTGCACAGCAGTGGGGAACAGCAGTGCCAAGATGGTCTCTGCTGCTCTGTGAGCGAGTGCAGGAGATGCCTGACAGTGGGAGCTGGAGGGGAAATTTCAGAAAGGCCTTTTTGGTTGGTTTGATCTGAGAGAGGAAGGCTCGGCATGCATGCATGGGAAGGGCAAGCCAAGCCAGCAGTTTATCTGTAAGATCTCCAGGATGTGTGTCTCCCCCACGCAGCCCCTCTGGCTCCCTCCTGCCATCATGAGCTGCTATCACTGTAAATAAAGGAATTGGGTCACCCCCAGCTTGTCTGGGTTGTTGCTGCTGGGGCTGCTCCTTGTTTGTGTGTTGTTATGCAGAGGAGCGCTTCCCCCCTTGTGGAGCCTTTCAAGGAACTCAGTGGGTTGGAAGCAGGAGAGGGGAGAGAGCTGTGAAGTGCTTTGTATTATCTAATGCTGCAGGACAGTTATAATGTGAACTCTTCAGTCTTAATTAACTCCACACCTGCTTGGCATTGTACCGCCTTTGGCTCCTTGGCTTTTGTAGAGCTGTGAGAAGGCACATACGGCCAAGGCAGACAGCTCTGAGTTTGTCTGAAAGGTGCTACCGAGTTCTGCTTAATTGCTCCTCCTGGCATCACTCTGTGCAGCAACGTTGGGTTGTCAGCAGGATTTCCTCCAGAGAGCAGCCTCCTCTTGGAGGGAACGGATCCTGCCTGGTGCTGAGTTTCCTCCACCTTTTCCCATTCCTCCTCTGCTCCTCAGAAAGCTGAAGCAGGATTGTGCTCAGCGCACACACCATACTCCAGCGGTTGTGGATGATGTCCTGCACGGGATGGTTGGGCTGGGAGGACTGAGCCTGGAGGAAGATGGAGCAGAGAATAATTGTTCAGCCTCCTTTGACATGGGGGAGAATGGACTTGCCTGCCCCACTGCTGTCCATCCTGCACATGAACATGCCCAGGGACAGAGAAAGGGGAATACATTGCAAAGCTGCTGCAATCCCAGAGAAAGATGTGCAGTGGGCAGCCAGCCGAGAAAGGGGTGTTAATCCTTTCTAATGTGATAACAAGATCCATTCTGGGGCTTAGTTTCTCATGTCTTTTCCCCAGAGCACAAGGGTCTCATGATTAGTGGATTCATTACCATTAATAAGTTATTTGGACTATGCCTGTTAGCAAGTAACAAGGAAGTCAGATTGACCTTTCCTGCATGTGGAGGTAGACGGTCTTGGCAGAGCTAATTAATTTATTTTGTGGATACTGGGGATTCCTTCATTCTGCAACACTGTTGTTTCTCATTCTTGCTCTCCTTCCTTCTTTCCCCTTTTTGGTTGTGCCAGCAGGGTCATCAAGCAGAGGAACTAGAAAAAGGTCTTAAATTTGCAGTGCTTGCTGTCAGCTGGTATGTCCCTTCCCCTCTGTACTCAGTGGTTGCAGAGCATCATGCAGGTGCGGGTCCCTCCCAGCTGGACGGATGCTCATGGTGTCTCTGTGCCCAGGGCAGACATGGAAGAGAGAAGGGTTGGAAAAGGGCTGGGCAGAAAGTGGCCCCCATGTGACTGATTTTGGCCTGTCATAGGGAGGACTTCTGGCTTGTAAATCATTTTGGGGGCAATGACAAAAATGAGCAAGGCAGAGAAAAGTAAGGATAAAATCAGGCAGCAGCAGAACCAAATCAAGCTTCATCCATCCTTCGCAGTCAAGCTGTGCTTTGTTTTCCTGGTATTATTTTCCTCCCACAGCCACTAAAGTGTGTCATTCTTTTGGTTCTCCAGAGGGTTTGGGCCCAGATCTTCTCTATGCAGCTTATTAGATCACAGCCCAGGGCGCTGTGTCTGCAGGCAGTATTTCTTCTTCAGCCCAAGGCTTCCTAAATGGTGACTCATGGGAAACATGCAGCCTCTCAAATCTGTGTATGTGGCTCATCAAGGGCCTTTCTAGTTGCAATGTGTAGTGAATAGCGAAGCGTTGAACAGGAGGGGAATTGGTCCTGTAGGTCCCCAGGCTGGTTGCTTTCCCTCACTCCAACAAAAGTGGGTGCATGGGCTGCAGCAGAATTGGCTGGCACACTACTAGCTGTGTCCCTCCCTGTCCAGCCTGCCCAGTTGGAGTGGACATATCAGGAGATCACAGATCAGCTCTGGGGGCTGAAATAAAGGTGATTAATCTGCAACAATGAACATTTATCAGAGTCCCACAGCTGGGAGGGCAGAAAGCTGCGAAGTCGCGTGTGGTGCTGAATGTTGTGTATATTGTGCCACGGTGGGAGAGGCAGCTCTCAGGGGAGCTCGGGTGTGCGGTCAGAGTGGAGCATCACACTGATGCATCAGCCCTTCTGTCTGAGCACTTCTTCCATGGTCAGTGTTCTTCGCACAGGCGTGTGTGTGTCTGCGTCTAAACACGAAACTGCTCCCAGGAAAGGAGCTTGTGCATCCATAGCTGCTAATTACACAATCATCCCTCCAGATGGTCCATCTCCTTCTGCAAGTCCAGCTTTGCTCTGGGTAGAATCCTAATTATACTGGCCCGTGAGCTGTGGTGTGCTAAGCCTTCCCGTCCTGCCTGCTGCCAAAAGGTGTTTGTGATCAGGAAAATCCTGCTGCTGGTGTTGTGGTGGGGTGTTGTTTCCAGTGTGGTGAAGGAAGGAAGTTTTTTGCTGAGTTTCACAGCTCCACCTGGCTCTGGAGCAGGTTTTCGTGGAAGATCAGTTGCAGTTTGGAAGAGTATGTCCCTGGAGTGGCAGGTCCAGATCAAAGAGCCTTGGTGAGCATTGTTTTAAGGGAAACAAGAAAGAGCAAGGGATGTTCCCAAAATCACACAGGGTTGTTGCAGGGCTGGGTGCTCAATGTGTAGTTTTAGGGTTGCAGATTACTGTCTGAGACTTGCCTCTGTGGCTGTCTCTGTTGCAAGCACCAGGTTTGGGCACCAAGCTGCCCAAACAGCAAAAATTTCAAGTTTGCATGACTTGTCACATGGGGGATTTGAGAACTGCAGAGATCTGTTGAGCCTTAGCTGAAGGTCCAGGTGCTTTGATGAGAAGGTACCAAATGAGACCTCTCCTGCCATCACCTTAGAGACTCATAGAGTAGCTCTTTGCTTGTAACCCATAAAGTCCTGGTTTCAAGAGTGGTGAAGTCAGCCCCGGGGAAGCTGGTCATACCCTACGGTCCTGTGGCCATGCCACTTTGCTGTATCAGGTAGTGCACAGTGTAGTCCAGGCTGGGTCTGGGCTCTGGGGGTGTTAGACCCCTGTCACTACCACAGGGTGCAGAAAGCCCGGATCCCAATGTCCTATTGGAAAGGCTTCAGAGCTACTGAGCATCTGCTACTGAGTTTCCTGGGAGGACGCTAGCGGGACATGCACCCGTGGCCTCTCAAACCTGGAGGTTTCAGAGGAAAATGTCCTTCCTGAGGCTGGTGAGGCTGGGATGGCTCTGCCCTGGGCTGCATTGTGTGTTATGGAGGTACAGAGCCCTCCCAGTACCTCCCTGGGTGAGCAGGCTCAGGCAGGCCCTGTGGCTGTAAGCAGAGATGTCCCAGGTGCGGTGTGGTCCTCACCACGTTTGAGGGTGCAGGAGCCTTTTGCATCTGAACTGAGCCCCTCTCAGCATACCCGCTAAGGCCAAAACAGAGCTGACGGGTTTTGCCTGCCATTTGTGAGTTAGAAGTCACTTTTCAGGTGTCTCTTCTCCGCCTCCTTCTGTTTCTTCTCTCAAGTTCCCCAGCTGTCTTTGCCAAAGTCTGTAGCACTCCCAGACACATCCCTGCGACTCAGTGCGTTTTAATCCTTTGCAAGCCTCTGCAATACCCCCCTCTGTGTGACAAACTCTGCTGGTTGTAGTATCTGATCTTCTAGCAAACACCGTGCTAGCGAAGCACTCAGCCTTTTCTTCAGCTTGTTTTATATGGAAATTTCCTCCAAGTGAAACCAATTCGTGGGAGGGGAAGGAGAAGGCTTTTAGGCAGTCCTGGAGGAAAAACATTTTTCAAGTTTTTCTTGAATCTAAGGCATAGAAACTGGGAAGAAGATATTACAGTTTTGTCTAGAGGTGTGGGAACACTGCGCAATGGGAGGGGAATAGCTGGTGAATATGTTTAATTGCCAGTGAACAATGCCCAATTCCTCTGACATGTTACTCTTGTCTATTCCTAAAGCTGGGTGGACCCTCAACAGCCATCTCAAGTAATTCATTGATGGAGGGGAACCAAATTCCCCAGAAAAGTTGTTCAGGGTTAATTTCCCCTCAGCTCTGCCCTGCAGCAATTGCTCTCTCCTTAAGGTGCAGTTGCTGAATGACTCCTGCTTGACCCAACGGTTTTGGGGACCAATTTCAAGCCATTGTATGGAATAACACTAGTTTGGCACTCATTAGAGCCAAATTTATTCAATAGTTTGGTACATTCAGAAACAGATAGAAATACAGCTGTCCTGTCTTGAAGAATACCTGCTTATCTTCTCCCCACATCTCACTTGGTTGTATAATTTGTGTGTTGCCTTTTCCCTTATCTCCTGACTGGTTATATAGCATCTTAGATCCCTGCAGCTCTGAATGCAGCAGATAAAGTCAGCTCTAGGACTTTGCACTTTCTCATTTTGAGCAGTGCTTCAGCAGTGTGAGTGACGGTGGGTCTCACTAATGCTAATCAAACAGCATGAAAAGTCCCAGGCTCTGCTTGCTCGCTGATCTGCCCCAGAGCATGCCTTGGGAAAAAAGGCACATCCCTGCCATGCTGCAATTAGAGCATTTGCTTATCTTAGCTGTAACAGAGCCATAAACTTTATCCAGGCCAATTAAATCAGATATGCAGTAAGCATACAGTTCCTATTAATGTGGGCTCATTCTTTTCTTATGTAAGTACAGAAGGAATTTGAGATGGCCTGTGGCTGGGTATCTCCTTGTTAAAGTTCAGCTCACTCATCACAGAGATGGGCTGAGGGGCAAATTTATTGGAAAGCTGCTTTGCCATCAGCTTTTCTGAAGCATGTTCTGAGCATCAGAAGAGCTATCTTAAAATCCTTAGATAGAAACAAAAAGTTCCCTAGATTTTTGGGAAGCACCTGGCCTGCTGGGATTTTTCTCTCTATACCCTCTCATTTCAACTTTCAACTGCCCTGTTCACTTGGGAAAACTCAGGCTGATCTTTAACTGAAAGATCACTGGTGCAAAAAGCTTTGTAGACAAAGGTAAGGGCTGATATCTCAACTGTGGCTTGCCATCCCCAGTCTGATGGGGCTGAAGGGCAAAGGAGAAATAACACACCCAAACCAGGGACAGAAACCAGTGCCTTTTGCTGCTGCTGAAACAAGGGATGCATTGTTTGTTCTCATCCTTCTCTTTCTTCCCCCTCCAGGACGTACAACCTTACCTTCCTGCATCCGTACTACCGGACAGACGAAGCGGAGGAGAACCCATTCATCTGCTCATCGCATCGTGAAAACGGCATGCAGAAATGCTCCAACATCCCAAACAGGAAGGAGTACAAGGTGGAGTGCACCTTGAGCATGGACTCCTACACCCCAAGTTTATACAACCCTGATTTCAGCAGCAGGAATGCCTGCATAAACTGGAACCAGTATTACAACGTATGCATGGCAGGGGACGTAAACCCACACAATGGAGCTATCAATTTTGATAATATTGGATATGCCTGGATAGCTATTTTTCAGGTAGGATTCTCCTAAAGATTTTTCTGTTCTGTCATGTTTTGCTTGGAAAGATTTTAATAGATGCATCAGAGGAGAACAGTATTTGCTTGTACTTGTGTGAAACTGCAAATGAAGACACATCAAGTAAATGAATCGGACAATAACCTGCACAAATGTTGCAAGAGAGCATTTGAAGAGAATAGCCATTTTTTCAGTGCATTTTAGAAGAGGGGGGAAATACTTCTTGAGACAGACAACAGTATGGAAAGTTCTAGCACTGCAAATCAGACCTGGATAAATCCCAGGGATTTTTGAGAGTTAGGGTCTGTATTTATTGCTGTAGTATCAGGAAATGGAGAGTGTTGTCGAAGTCCTTAAGCAAGACTTAATATCATTCTAAAATGTAGGAACTAGCTTGATGGCATGGTTTGGGCTTGATTCTAGAATTACAGGGTTATACTGGTTAGCATGGTATGCTGGAGGGTGGAAGAAATCTGTTCTGGCTAGAATACCTGTGAAGAGATACTACTCGTGGAATTTGAGTCATTCGTGATCCACACCTGTACAGCTCTTCACTAGAGACCAAAGTACTTATAGCTCAAACTGGGGGAGCCTTTACAGGTAACAAAAACACTCCAGCAACTGAAGCATTTTCAAAGCATTTGTAGCTCTGGAACATTGGATAGCTCATCTACACAGTCCAGAGGCTATGGTCTCTTAGGGCTAGCCTATTTTAAATGATCCATGTACTGTTTTCCATTTTTAATTTGCACTTTCTGATTTTAATACAAATTTCTTTATGCTTTTGGCTAGATGCCCTGTTTTATTTGGTCCTGCTCAAGTGTAGGTGACATCTATTCCTAAAAGAGAAAAAAAAATGCTCTTTTTAGTTTTGTTAATGATGAATAATTACTCATTCAGAGCTCTAAATTTCATTTATGAATTTCCTGCTAGTTTCACATTATAATAGGAACTTAATAACTTTCAATTTTCATCTGGGAGTTGTAAAGGGACAATTGCTTGCTCTGAGCATCTTGTCTGCTCTCATGCTGTCACAGTAGCACAGTAGCACACCTTAAGTCAGAGGCTTAAAACCAAATCCAGAAGGGTTCAGGCAGATTCCAAGTCTCTACTAGGCTATATTTTTTAAAATGCTTTGGTTCTTTCCTGGAATTAGTGTGTCAAGAGAGACACTGCCATAGTAATTTTGAATATTTCTGACTGGTAGCAAGTGTTGCATAAAGGAAAGAGGGAAATCAAAGTGAGAATAGTAGATAGGTCTCTGGCTGTACTTGCATTCTCTTTTTTCTGCTCTTGCGTAGTTCTTTGACGGTGCTTGATGGATGTGCCCAGGAGGTCCCATCTGGCTCCCACCATGGGGCAGCAATGTTCTTGCCAAAGAAAGGGCAGAGGGCAATGTGTTGCACAGTGCCTGTGCTAGTGCATTGAAAATGAGCAGGTGCTTCTCGAGGGGTCCTGCTTCCTTTTTACTTCCAGTGCCTTTCTGCAGACTGCAAGTTTTCATTTCGTGTTGGTATTTCATTTCCTCAGCCTGAAAATGTGCGGTTTTAAGCCAGGAAGAACACACCAGCCACAGCAGAGGTTGCAACTGATTCCTTTGGGCAGAGCAGAGTGTCTGGCAAAGTTGGATATTGTATTCATAGATCATTTTGGCAGCTGCCAGGAGGTTTATGATTGGTTTTAGTGCTGCTTAGGCCATGCAAATGCTAAAGAGTATTTCCAGCCAAAAACTCTTCCTACATCTTTTTCCTTTTAGAAGTAAGGACTTGCTTTTAGAAGCTGAAAACAATATAACTCCAGGTAAAGAAACAGCTGTTGGGAGTAAGGTGCTTGCTTAACTTTGATATGGAAAGAGTAAATCATTACTGCAAGAGGTGGGATGCTAAATCAAAACAGTTACTGTAAGCAGAGAACATTTAACAAATAAAGCTATTGAGTTGTGCTCTCATTACATTTAATAGTTGAAACTGGGTAGCACCAGGTCAGCAGTTAGATGAGGCCTCAAAGTAAGTAGTGCAGAAAGTAGAACGGATGGGTTTAGTAGCTCAGGAGCTTCCCTGTGAATTGGTATTGAATTACTAGGCAGAAAGCACTCTGCTGTGTTCTGGATGAGACAGGTCCAATTGTCCTGATCCCTTCTGAGGAATAATGAATACGTGGTACTTTGCAAGAGTTGTAATGATGGGCTGAACCTCAAGGTCTGGCAAGCTTCCAGTTTGCATAATGGCAATCTTAGGACTCAGCTGGTTAGAGCATCCCTCGTGATTTATCCCAAATGAGTTGGAAATCTAGCATGGTTTAAGAGCTGTCAGAAGGGAGGTTGGTGAAATGAGCCCCACAGGTGAGATTTGGAAGGAAGCTTCCAAGTGCAGTGACTGCAAGTCGTGCCCATGAGTTTCCAAGGGCACAGTTTGATACTGTGCAGACTGCGAACAAACAAAACCAAAAGCAGACTTTGACAGGGAAATCTGAAGATCTCTACTCCAAAATGTCCTTGTGAATGGTGCGCCAAGGCAGGAGGCTAGCAGTATGGCCAAGCCCTTTCAGCTGCCAGAATTTGGATTTAAGCAGCCAAGCTGAAAGACATTTAACTTCATGGTAGTGATCCTGAACTTGCAAGTAACCTGGCACATGGCAGCAGAGCATACCAAACAGTGAAATGCATTGTTGACCTTCCAAGTGGAAGAGTAAGTCAGAGGCATCAGACAGGAGAACCAACCTAGTGCAAATGAAAAAATCTTAAAGTAATAAAGATGGTGGCTGCATCTATGGGCGTTTGAAAGGATAATAATTCCTTATGTAATCCTGCAAATGATTAATGTTTTGATTCCCCTCATTTGTTGTGTAATAGGCTAATTCATGTATATAATTGCTACAAAGGCACGTTCAATGGCAAATTATGTGAACTAATTAGCTTATTACAGAATAAATGAAAGGAGATGGAACCTAAATTAACTGTGAGGTTTGGCATGATATTAAGATCCCTTTATTGCACATGAATTTCAGGTGCAACAATAAGAGCAGTAATTACAGGTATTGTTGTCACACTGCAAATGATGAATTACCCACCTAACCAAAGTCCAATTTAATTTGAATTACTGACAGTCTCAGTGGAGCAACCAAAACACTGCCACCTTCCTAACCATCAGTCTTGGTGTGGCCAGGCCTGGATGCAGAAACCCTGTTGAAACAAAAGGGAGTTGGGTGGCTGGTAAGATACACAGTTTGGGAAGAAGAGATGATTTAGGCTACTTTGCAAACCACAGAACCATTGCTTGGATGATTTCACATCTGACTTGCAGAAAAGTAAGACATATAATAGCACTTTACATCAGGAGGCAATGCTTTTGGCAAAACTAGTGAGGCAAAGTTGAAGGAGCAATAACCACCAGCTAGGCAGAACCAAGACGAGATCAAGGGAACAAGCTGTTCCTCTGTGCCTCCTTCCAGGGTATAGTTGGAAGGACTGAACTATGAGAGCAGATGTATGGGAAAAAAATTACATGGATGTTTCAGGAAATGTCCATCCAATACAAGAGAAAAGATTTGTCTGGCAATTCAGAGGAGCTGTGACACTGCTGGTGCTGACTGAGTTACCTTTTCTGTGGCCTCTTCTTCACATGTATTTTGGAAGTAGTTGTGTTTTCTAAGGGGCTTCCTTAATGAAGGACCCTCTTGAAATTAGTCCTTGGATACAGCTCTCAGATTCATTATTCTGTTTCTGGCTTATGTTGTTCTGGGTGCATATTGCTTCTATGAGGTCTTGCTTAAGAAGACATCTCAGTTTACAAGTTAATCAAGTCATACAAGTAACACATCTCTGGCTCATGATCAGAAGGCCCTAGCGAGGGAATTCTCAGAGGAGACCATTTTGCATTCAGCAGCCCCCTTGCTGCTGTCAGGAAAAAAAAAATAAGCCTAGTTGTGTTCACGAGAGCTGAAGACAGCCCAGCAGGCGCACGACATGATAAGAATGTCCAAGAAAGGAAAAGCTGAATCACCTTCTGAAGAAAGATGTCTGGAAATAGAGCAGTGCTAAAGGAACTGTCAGCAGCAGCAAGAGTTCAAGGTGTTGATAGCATGCTTAGATGGAGAACTTCTCTTTGCACCTGGTCTCACCAAAGCCAGCGGTATGTTACAGCCACAAAGATGTGGGTGACGAGCTCAGGAGAGAAAACAAGTTTGGGGTGGGAAAGGAAGGGAATTGATGCCACCCACTTCTTCCTTCATTTGTCCTTCTGCAGGTACTTTACTCCTAACGCAATGGCAGGCTGCCTGCGCAGGTGTGACAGCTGGCAGTGACAGCCGTATGCTGCAGGCCACCTGCCGAAATAGCCCTTTTTTTTCGACGTGAAGTTACCTCTTTTGTGCTCTAGCCTGTCAAAAAAACCCCTGGGAGCTTGTGTAAGCTATCTCAATCCAATCAAGGATTTATTCATTTTGACCCCGCTCTGTGTGCTGATGAGGGGCTTGTTTTGTCTCTGTGTTGCTGACTCTGCTTCTGCTGGGATCTGCACCCCTGCGAGCTGTGCCTGTACATGGGCCGGCTGAGAAAGTACAGAGCTTGGGGGAAGATTTCAGGTTTGGAAATAAGAAGGTTCATTTGTCTCATTTCACTATTGTTTGGTGCCCTGATCTGTTCCACAGCCATTGCCCCCTTCACATTGTTTCAGCCTCTGTTCATCATGATTGAAATCATTCCCTGAGTATTTCTCCCTTGCCTGGAAATCTTTCAGCTAAATCTGTAATGGGAACCATATCTTCTGTTTGAATTAAAGAAAAAATTATATGCATTTCAATGCGCTTCTGTTATGGCCAAACACAAGAATGAGCTTGGAGTCCCTCCTCATCTATACTGTCACTCTGTCAAGAAAAGATCTTGTTTGAGGAGACAAGACCTGAAGCTCTAACATTGCTTTTCCCTTAGAGTATGCACAAACCTCCACTCTGGAACATACTGGCAGGACAGAATTGGCAGGGTCATTCCTGTTTGTTCCTAC